AAAAAGTACTGTAGGTCAGAGGAAGCAAAGCTTAGGAGTGAAGAGGCTAGAATCCAAACCTAGGTCCTTAGACTTTCCTCTGTTGTTCATTTTGTCCATCATTGCGTGTATATATATATATATATATGATGCATACACAGCTGTACATATACTATATGTACATATATATGCAGTATTCTATGGAGTTCTTTATAAATGCTTATTTTTGCTCCTCTAAAAAAAATTCTTTGCCTCTTTGAAGATACTTTTTATGTTTATTTTATTGATTTGTCTGTTCCATTGATTCTGCTTTTGTTCATGTTGTAGTCTTTTTTATTGGCTCTTCTCTCCTCAAATACCTTGCTGTTTTTGCCGAGTCTTCATTTTTCCTTAAGGGTAGCAGCTCCCTGGGTGTGGGATGCTTTAGATGGAAATCCCAAGATCGCTTCAATGTTTGTGTTATCTTCTGGCCTGGTGGCCTCCAGGTCCCAGGTCTGCATTTGACCTCTTCTTTTTGTTCTTTCTCTGGGAAGCTTCTTAATTTTTTGGCTACTATTTTTCTCTTCTAGTAGGATTTTCATCTTAGGTTTTCTTGCTTCATTAGAAACCAAAGGGCTGAAGTTAAAGACAGCAGGGAGAATTCTTAGGGACCAGCATATATAGCTGTAACTCCTTCCTGTTTTGCAGTCTGTCTGGAGCCTCCGACTTCCTTCTGGCTCATCATTGATCCTAGAGGCTCCAGCCAGAAACTGCTCTTTTGCAATCCTAAAATAACAAGGGACCGGCAATGATCTGTTTAGCCATGGGAGGATGGCAAGAGAGATGGAGGACAACTCAAAGTGTTAGAACGTGCTAAAACCAATATTTGCTGTAAAAATGCAATGGGTGGTGACAGTGCCTCAACCAGCTCAACATTAGCCTGACTAAGCATCACTTAGCATCTTTCTCCTGATAAATAGTAATAAAAGCTACACAGCACCACCCAAAGCATTGGCTTTTGCCTGAAATAATTCAACATGCATTACTTAGTCTTGAGTCTTAGAGGTTTATAAGAAAGATGGGAACTACATAAGTCACTGTCACCCCTCATAGCAACCATGAACTTTCTTCTTAAATGGAGATAAGTGGAGGGAAGACCAGAACAGTCAGGCTTCCAGGCATACTTAATATTCATTATACCAAACAGCTCCGCCAACATATGCCTTGCATTAATTCTTCTGATATATACATAGCATGTGTGTGTGTGTGTGTGTGTGTGTGTGTGTGTGTGTGTGTGTAGTTTTATGAAATTAAGAGTGGTTTGGCTTCTGGACTAGTGAATACCTATGCTTTTTTTTTGGGGGGGGGGAGTGTGGTAGGAGGTTGCATACGCAGAGGTGTTCAAGTGTTACTCCAAGCTCTGTGCTGAGGATTCTGTCCCAGCAGAACTCAGAAGACCATATGTAATGCCAGGGATCAAACAACAAGTCTTCTTCATGCACTTAGCCCACTGTGCTGTCTCCCTAGCCTTCTGTCTGTATTTGATGCCCAATTTGTATTCCATTAATACAAGAAAATCTGCAATGCTGTCGTATTCTATATCTGGGCATCTGAAAGTTTTTCTGCTCTGAGGGTTTAGCCAGACTACACTACTTTTACTAAAAGGGTTTAACCAGAAAAGTGCAGCATGGGGGCCAGAGAGAAATTCAGGACATATATGCCCTGCATGTGACAGGACCTGGTACATTCTTCAGCACTACATGGTCCCTGGCACCACCATTTAGGTTGGCTGTGAAATGCTGGGAATCTGCCAAATTTTTCATGACCCTTACATTCAGTTGTGCAACCCCCACAATTTCAGAACTGAGATGAGGGGGCTGGAGAGATAGCACAGCGGGTAGGGCGTTTGCCTTGCATGTGGCTGACCCGGGTTCAATTCCCAGCATCCCATATGGTTCCCTGAGCACCGACAGGAGTAACTCCTGAGTGCAGAGCCAGAAGTAACCCCTGAGCATCACTGGGTATGACCCAAAAAGCAAAAAAAAAAAAAAAGAACTGAGACGCTTTATATTCTTTGACTTTCTGACTCTCAAAGCACACATTCTGCTACATACCTTGAATTTTATTAAATTTTGCCTTTATTTTAAAATTAATATCTTTTTTGCAATTCATATCTTACAAGAATTCTAGATATTTTGGGGCAGGAGAGATAGTACAGTGGGTAGGGCATTCGCCTTACACGCTGCCAACACAGGTTTGTTCCCCAGCATCCCATATGGTCCCCCTAAGCTTTCCAGGAGTGTTTCCTGAGTTCAAAGCCATGAGAAAACCCTGACTACTGCCAGGTGTGGCCACCAAAATCCCAAAACAAACAACAAGCAAAACAGCAGAAAACCAAGAAGAATTCTAGATATTTTAAAATTGGAATTATAGCTTTATGAATCCCTTTATAACTCCCAATCTCTCCCACTGAGCCATAGACAGACTGAATGCTCAACAAATGTGTGCATAGCTAAATTATGCAGTTAAATGGGACACATAAAATGACTATTTATGAAATATGTTTTAAGATGTTGGCAATGTATCTTTGCTTGCAAAGCATATGAGATGCTTATAATTGGCCAGTTTGGATTTAGTGACGAATTCAGTAATATCATCAAAGTGGGTGTATGATACCACCACCACCACCCCACTAATGGCGGGGGGGGAGGGGCAGCAGTAAAAGCTTCAGGTGCTAATGAATGAACTTTCTGTTTGTTTGCTAAAGAAGGTAGGTTTTCAGGAGGTAACTGTCACTTTCACTGTCCTCCTCCTCCCATTGTTCATCGATTTGCTCAAGCGGGCCCAGTAACATTGTGAGACTTATTGTTTCTGTGTTTGGCATATCAAATATGTCACTGGTAGCTTGCCAGGCTTTTCCGTGTAGGCGAGATACTCTCGGTAGCTTGCTTGGGTCTCTGAGAGCGGCAGAGGAATCGAACTCAGGTCTGCCCAGTAGGCCGAGTGCAAGGCAAATGCCCCACCTGCTGTGCTATTGCTCTAGCCCCACCATTCAGAGGTACTGAATTTCTTTTTTTCTGAAAATGGAATGGCAGGCCAAAAAAAGTCTGGTAACTTCTGGTATTTTAAATTCACCTGGGAAATATAAGGATATACCAGTCATTCGGACAGGCTTATCCCCAGGGAGAAATGGACTCTTCCCTATATCTTTAAAGATCTTTATTTAAAATGTGCTTTTATTTCTCACCTGGATTAACTGTTGTGTTGGGCGTATCTGGAGGATCACTGTCCTGGTTAAAAATCCCATCAATGGATTCTCTTCATCATGAGGAGACATGAATTGACTCTGATCAGACATTGCTGCCATTTTCTCCTGTATTGTCACATTGCTAACCATCTGGACATTCATTCACCATTTTCCCTCCAAGCAGCAGCTCAGGAAGCTTCTCCTGTAGTCATAAAAGACTGATGTTTTCATGTTTTAGTTACTAATGGGCATCTTTACTAAAATCTGCCATCAGAACCGAGATGGTTTATTTTTGTTCCTGCTTTTGTTTCGTTTTAGTGAAGCAAAAGAGTTTTATTGAACAAAATTTACTTTAGAAGGGGAGAGAAAGAGGAAAACATGTTCTAGGGAGAACATGGGCTTCTCCAGAGGGCAAGAGCAAGCAAAGATAATGTGTTCATGAGGCCTGAGCGACAGTTCAGTGGTTAGGGAATTTGTTTTGCATGTGGCTGACCTGGAATCGATCCCCAGCATCCCATATGGTCCCCTAATTACTCCAAGCACCACCTGAGCGTGGCACCTGGAGTAAACCCTGAGCACATCTGGGTGTGGTCCTCCACAAAACAAAATAAAACAGAAAAGCAAAGACATGTTCAAGGGAGAACATGGGCTTGACAAAGCAAGTCTGTCCTGGGATAGTTTATTAGAACTCTTTTTTAGAGATTCCCTAGCAGAGGGCGTGGTATTTTAATTTTCACTTAGAATATGTTAGCTTAAGAAAAAATCAAAAAGCCTGTACCCAAAGGAGAGACTTAAAAAAAAAACCCAAATTGCTTATATGGCTAGAGGAGAGATTTCTGCATCTTGTTTTAAAAAAATTGATTTTGGATAGGGTTGAATTACTATTTCCAGAACAGATCAGACTTTTATACTCTTAAAAGCATGTTAATTAGAAATCCCCAAGAATATCTAAAATCAGATTTTTAAAAAATAACTAGGCCTTGTGTAACCTCAGTGACCACACCATCTGTAAAACATTTCAGTAACATCACTTAGTGTGAATTGCATTTTCTAAGTTGGGTCCATCACTCATTTGTTCTGTGATAGATGGCATGGCATTTTTAGCATGTTCGAATTGCAAGTAATTTAGCATTTCTAAAAGTTCCTTGGTGATTTGATTCTTATTCAGAGAGTAATTTTGATTTGTTTGAAAATGGACAGTAATGTCTGGTTATTGTATCCTATACATTGAGCTGCATTTATTGACTTTCTAAGTTTTGAGTACAGTAATTATTCTGAACTGAAGTGAAGCCAATTTTACTTGTTTTTCTCAACCTCAAGATGTGCAACTTAATGAGATTTATACACTGACAATCTTTATTGTGTCACTTGCTCTGACTGGTGAGAATAATCACATCCTAAATCAACATATTATTATTGTGATGACTGTTATATATGTTAAGTTTTGTAGCTCTATTTTTATCACATAAAATATACTTTAGATATTGGTGTTATGTCAGAATGAAAGAATTTTCTCACTCTCTAAAGAATATTTTTAGTAATTTCTCACTCTCTAAAGAATATTTTTAGTAACTTCTCAGGAGTAGTATACTCCCCATGTCAATTTCCGCATAAATCCTACATGAATCAAAGACTTAGAACCGATGTAAGGTGAATATAGGATGTTTAGGAATATAGGATGTTTTAAGAAATGCAGCTTAATGTAATCTATGTGTTTTTTCATATCTATTTATTTATTATTCTATTCATATGTATTTAGTAGCCAGCCAGTTATACAGTGAATGCCATTGGAGGCATGGAAAAATTCTCAGTCCAGATGAAGGACAAAATCTATAAATCTCCCCACCTCAGAGTTTACAATGGAGTTGGAAGAAATGAAGGTAAAGAGACAAGATTATTATATATTATTACCAAAGAAACAGAGATGGGGCCTCCACTGGGGAAACTGGAAAAACTTACTGACCAAAGTGACAAATCAGCACTTCCAAACCTTTTCACCTAAAGGATATAAACAGATTGATAGTTAAAGACTTAGGTGTGAGATCAGCTTTGAACCCTGAGAGGAAAAAACAATCTGGACCATGTGGCCCACAAAGTACCAAAACAGTCATAATTGTTCCTAAACATCACTACTTTCCACCTTCATTGGAAATTGCTATATTCATTGTTAAATGAGTCAGTAGCAGGTCTCATCCTAAAAGGGATAACCTTGTTGTACTTTTGCTCCCCTTTGAGAAAAATACAGAGTTCTGTCAGCTTTTCCCTGTTTAATCATGTGTTGAATCTCAGGAGCTTCTTTTAGGACACTTTTTCTTTAAATGAGTCCTTTAGCAAGTCTAGATGTTAAAATCACACATCCTCACCTGAATGTTCTTCAGAAGACTTGGTGCTATGCACGAGTCTTCATTAGGAAGGCTACAGAGTCTTGGCTATTATTTAATGTGGAGAAAATGATACCTCGTGTCTAAGCATGCTTGTTTGTGAATTTAAAAATAAATGCAAGATCTCACAGTCAGGTGGACTTAGCTGGCTCAGGAATTTTTGAATAGTGAAAATGATTCAGCGATTAGGGCAACTATTTTTATTCATTCTTTAATTTTTAAAGGTCCTTATATTGTTTGTAAATCCTCTACAAGGAGTTTTTGTATACGTGTAAGACATTTTAAGAAACACAGCTTAATATAAGAAATGATACTAAATTAGAAGTGACTATAACTGATCCATAATTAGAATGCTGGGTGGTTTCAAGAGATAAACATCTTCCTGTCAAGGGATTTCTCTTATGTCATCTATAAAAGGAGATAATCGATTTGGATAACAAATGGAAACCACCTAGAGACATGGCTGCAACCAAGGCAGACATCATTAATGGATCCCTGAACTCCTGCCTTCTAAAATCAGATACAATGGCCAAGTCATTCTTAGAAAAGTTATTTAGAAAAAATAAACTAGAAGTAAAATATATTCATCACCTTCAGTAAGATCTTTTAGGCCTCACAATACTAATAATTCTTTAACAGGATAATTCTATAAAATCATATACTGTAGGCTTTTAACATTGTAACAAATACAATTAAATCAGAGAGGAGATAGTGAAAGGGTGTTTAAATAATTTTTACTGCCATATTAATGAATGCTATCAATGGAATGTCTGCTATGATTTATGGAAAGCTAATTTTGACGCATACTTATGTATGTGTTCAACTTACTTCTTAAAGTAGTCCACAGTTCCTTAAAAATATATTTTTATTTTCATATATGTCCATATGTATATATGTATAAATATACATGATATACATAGCACTGTAGCACTATAGCACTGTCCTCCCATTGTTCATCAATTTGCTCAAGTGGGTACCAGTAACGTCTCCATTGTGAGACTTGTTGTTACTGTTTTTTGCATTTATAATACATCACGGGTAGCTTGCCAGACTTTGCTGTCTGGGCAGGATACTCTTGGTAGCTTGCCGGCTCTCCGAGAGGGGCTGAGGAATCGAACCCGGGTCTGCCATGTGCAAGGCAAACACCTTACCCACTATGCTATCGCTCCAGCCCACTTGCTTCTATAAGTTCATAAAATAAATCATTACCAAGTCTGTAACACTCAAAGTCCAAGATCACTTGTGCACAGAATTGACAGCAAAGATTGATATCTAGGATATATGAAGTAGTCATGAAGAACAACAAAAACCCAAAAACCTAAAAAAAAAAAGGAAAGTGAAAATGAAGTCACTCTGAAGAGGAAGACAGGTGGATGGCCAATAGGCACATGGAAAAATGCTCATCATCACTTACCATTAGGGAAATCCAAATTAAGATGACAATGAGATACCATCTTACACCAGTTAGAATGGCACATTATTAAAAGTACTAGGAATAATCTGTGTTGGCAAGATATGGCGAAAAACACTGGAATTCAGCTCTGCAAATTCAGTTCATAATCTCTCCTCATATATGCATTTCAACACCTTTCCTTTCCAAATACCTATACATTCGTATGTATACATACATATCTACACATGTATTTCCTGTGAATATTTACTATATGCATGAGCATTTCCTGTTAAAATCTTCAAGAGGAAACATGTATATATATGTGTGTGTGTGTGTGCATTTACATATATTTATCTGCACATATTAGCATGTATATATACATATATTTCCTTGTGAAGATTTCACATATTAGGTTCAGAAACTATAACACGGCAAATTAATACTATTCATTTTATTGATAAATAGATCAGGTTGCAAATGTGCTCTTAAAAAGGCATCTGTTTGTTACTTCACTCTTCATAGAGAAATAGACATTTAGAGGCTGAGTCTGAGCCTTAGTACAGCAGATAGGGCACTTGTCTCATATGCGGACTACCTGGGCTCAGTTCTTAGCACCACAAGTGGTTCATGGAAAATTGCCAGTACTAACTCCTGAGTAACCTCTGAGCATCGCTGGGCACTGTCCTCTTAAAACACAGGAACGCTTGCAATCCTGGGGCACATGTAGGGAAACAGACCAGGGGGTGTCAGTTTCCTGCCAGGTGCACATCAGTGGGGGCGGGGCCGTGGAGGGCAGCGGAAGGACACTGCGATGCTGCTTGAGGTGCCTGATGTGTCCAGAGGCGACTTTATCTCCACCCCCCATCCCCAAAGCCCAGTCCTGATGGACCGAACCTTCCATTAGAAGGACAAAGCGGGGAGGGAGGAAAAAGATTTCGCTTCTTTTCCAAGGTATCCGTGAGCCGCGCGGGAACTACTTCGTCTCCGGGGACGGGTGCGGACCACGTGCCAGTCTCGGCGGCGGCAGCGGCGGCGGCGGCGCGACGGGCGCCAGAGACTGGGACTCGTTTCCTTTCGGCGCCGCCGCCCGCTATGCAGCCCGACGGCTCCCCCACGGCCCGGCGCGTCGCCCGCTCGCCCCGCCGCCCGGCGCCCCGCCAGCGCCCCGCACGGCCCGGGCCTGGGGGCTCCCCGACGGCCCGCCGGGCCGCACGTTCTCCCGGCGCCTCTCCCGAGCCTCCGCCCGCGGCTGCGGCCTCTCCGCGGCCCAGCGACCCGCCGACGCCCGTCGGAGCCTCAAGTCGGTCCGGGTCCCTCGCACCCCGCCGGCCCCCCTCAGATCGGGAAGCTTCGCAGGCGCCCCTCAGAGCCTCAAGTCTGCCGGGGTCCCTCGTACCCCGCCGGCTCTCCTCAGGTCCAGAAGCTTCTCAGGCGCCCCTCAGAGCCTCCAGTCTGCCGGGGACCCTCAAACTCCGCCGTCTCCCCTCAGACCGGAAAACGTCTCAGGCGCCCCTCAGAACCCCAAGTGGGTCGGGGTCTCCCTCACCCCGTCGGCTCCCCTCAAGTCCAGAAGCTTCGCAGGCGCCCCTCAGAGTCTCCAGTCTGCCAGTGTCGCTCGCACCCCGCCGGCTCCCGTCAGATCAGGAAGCTTCTCAGGTGCCCCTCAGAGCCTCAAGTCTGCCGGGGTCCTTCGCACCCCGCCGGCTCGCCCCCTCAGACCGGGAAACTTCGCCGGCGCCCCTCAGAACCCCAAGTGGGTCGGGGTCTCCCTCACCCCGTCGGCTCCCCTCAAATCCAGAAGCTTCTCAGGCGACCCTCAGAACCCCAAGTCGGTTGGAGTCTCCCACACCCCGTCGGCTTCCCTCAGACCCAGAAGCTTCGCAGGCAACCCTCAGAATCCCAAGTCCGTCGGGGTCTCCCACACCCGGTCGGCTCCCCTCAGAGCAGGAAGCTTCTCAGGAGACCCTCGGAGCCCCAAGTCCGTCGGGGTCTCTCATCCCCCACCGGCTCCCCTCAGACGACGAAGCTTCTCGGGTGCCCCTCAGGACCCCATTCCTGGCCTCGACCATCCCACCCCGCCGAGAGCGCGCCTCAGACCGCGAAGCTTCGCCGGCATCTCGCCGATCCCGACGCCCCCCGCGCGTCCCCCCCCACCCCGCCAGCCCCCCTCAGGCCGCCCAGCATCGCCGGCGCCACCCCTCAGAGCCCCATTCCGGGCCGTGACCCCCCCACCCTGCCGAGAGCCCCCCTCAGGCCGCCCGGCGTCGCCGGCCTCTCGCCCGCCCCGGCGACGCCCACCCGCGTCCCCCCAACCCTGCCAGGCCCCCTCAGGGCGCCCAGCGTCGCCAGCATCTCGCCCGCCCCGGCGACGCCCACCCGCGTCCCCCTCACGGCGCGACACAGCCACGCGGCCCCCTGCCGCCCCGCCGCCGCCCCCCCACGCCTCGCTGCCCTGCCCGGTCCCCCACACGCCGCGGGGTCGCCGCAGACCCCGTGGCATCAGCGGCTCGCCCCGTGGCCCGACCCCCACGAGGCAGAGCCCCCACAAGCTCACCGCCTCCCCCCGAGACCCGCGGGCGGGCCCCACGGTCCACTTGCCCTGTGGTCAGATATCCCAGCTGCACCTCCCACAGTCCGCCCCCGCCCCCGCCCCCCACGCCCTCCACGCCCCCCGGCCGGACTGAGCGCCCACCCGGAGCCTCATGTGCCAGGAGATCTCCCCCCTTAACCCAACGCCCTCCCAGCTCCTGCCCCTACCACCCCCCGGTCCGGCGGTCTCCCTTCTAGTAGTGAAGGAGCCGCTGTCCCCCCTCCCCCCACCTCCACCATCTGGACTGCACAGCCTCAGGACCCCAATGGTGAGTGCGGGGCAGCCGCCCCTTTCCTTGATGGTCCAGCCTGGTGGGGTTCCTGGGGGGGGTCATGGTTTTCTCTACATGCATTTTTATGAGGTGGGATGCTGCTCTCAGGTGCAGGAGTTCAGTTGGTGTACTCCACGCGTGGTGCCAAACCCCGTGTAACATGAGAAGTCCTGACCTGGAGTTGAGATTTCCAGGCCATTCTCTGTCTTGGTGATAGACCTTGCACCTGAAGGCGCCCAGGCGTGGGGCTCAGAGCAAGTTGTGAAGGAGGATCAGTAGCTGGTATCCAGGATGCGTGAAGAGGGGTTCTGGAGGGCCCGGGACCTGGGGGGTTTGCAAGGTGGGGGTGTTTTCCTCCTTGAGCCCCAACTTGTGGGAGAAAATCATAGCACTTTGTGCAGGGACGGTGAGTGAATATGGGGTAATAGTTTAGCGGAGCTTAAAGTGAGTCATGCTTTTAAAATAAAAGGGAAATAAAAGGGTATCTTAGTCTTCTGCTTAGAAACTTCCGCTTAGTCTTCCACTTAAATAGGGGACAGAGGAGAGGGGTGCCCGCAGGGTGACTCAGGTGGACGAGCACCTGCCTTGCACATGAAGGTTCTGGTTCCATCCAGAAACCCCTGGGAGTGGCCGAGACCTTTGATATCTCAAGGTGTGGGCCCCATAGTAATCCAGCGACAAAAATTTAAAACCGATGCCTGCAGTGGTGTCCCATCTTGTCCCAGTGAGCCTTGCCTCTGCAACTGTGGGGAGAATGGATTGCACCCCCTTCTAAAGATATTTAGCAAATCAGAAGAGTTGCCCTAAGTAGAGTGGGGGTGTGGGCTGCTGGAACTTTGGTGGGTCAAAGTCAGAGGTGGTGCTGAACCTCCCACAGTGCTGAGGTCAGCCTCCTACAGCAGAAGTTTTATCCAATTCAAATGAAGGTGTAAAACTGCCGGGGAAAGGCCTTTCCAGTCTCTTCTCCCCATCTTTACCACAGGCTTTACAGACAACAGATAATGGTGCTATGTTATAGTCTCATAGATGTGTCCGCTGATTCCTAGAATGAATCTTTATTTTGTCATTCTTTCTATTCTGCTCTACTGTAGAAGCTGGACTAATACCAGTATTAGCTAGCTAGCTCGTGAAGCCACAAAAAGCAAAAAGCAAAACAAAACAAAAACAAAAACACCCTTAGACTGAGTAGTGAAAACAACAGAAACTGATTTTTGCAGTTTCAGAGGCTTGCAGTTTCACATCAGTATCTGGCAAGGATAGATAGTATCTGAGAGTTCTCTTCCTGGCTTGTGAAGGGCCACCTTCTCCCTGTGTCCTCACATTGCCTTTATAGATGTGTGTACACAGTTTCATATCAACACATACAAATATATATCCTTTTCTTAGAAAGCTGTTGCTCCTAAGGAATCAGGTCCCCATTCTTTTAACTGGAACTACCCCTGAAAAACCCTTATGGTCATATTGAAAGTTAGAGTTTCAAGATAGGAATTTGGGAAGACACAGTGCCTCTAGTTATGCTATCCATAAGAACAAGATGTGTAAGAATTAGATACAGAGGAACTTAGGATGTTCAGCATCTTAATAAATTTAATGCATTTGGCCATCCCTCGGGTAATTCTATAAAATTTCTACCACCATTATGTATTTCAGTGAATTCTGTGATTTTTATAAAAATTCTTCAAGTAATTCACCGAAATTCAATTAATACAGTCCTCTTTTCGTCCTTTCAGAACACATTCTTTTGTCCAGTATCCAGAGTATTGTTATGCACATTGAGAGCTCAACCATTTGTATTAATGATTGTAAACTGGAGATTGCATACAGGATAACTATGCTGAAATATTTCCATAGATTTTTCAAATAATTATGCTTTGTCACACAAATCCAACAATTCTTTTCAGGTAAGGGAGAAATGAAAAGAGATGAGAGGAAATATACTGTTTCATATACCCATACTTCTTCACTGCATAGATTTTTATTTTAGGGAATTTAAATGTGTTACATTTGCATCATCATTACAAAATATTTCTAAATTGAAGTAGTTGCTGAGTGACAAAAATTTTGTTGTGAGGAATTGCTACTTCTCAAAAGAATAGTAGTGAATATATTGGTAGTATCTTCAGGGTAAAAATGTTGATATTAAAATTGTAGGTGCTCCAATTTTCTCCTGTCTACGTGCTGATGCCTTCCCAGAATTCTTTTAAAATATTCTTGTCCTTTCTTTGGTTGAAAAATCTTTGGAAAAATAAAGTACCTTACTAGAAACATAATAAGTAATGCTAGACAATCAGTGTTATAGGGATTGCAGTAATTACATGTATACTCCAAAATGAAAAGTCAGTGTTTCTATATTTATTAAGTAGATACCTTAACAAAATTTTAAGTTTTTTAACTTGTCATTATATGTGGAAATTCATAAGCATACATCTGCAAGCACTGTTAAATAATAATTTTAAGAATGCCTAGGATACTATGATAACTCAAATTTTATTTTCCCCCTGTTTCAAGAAAGTAGTGTTTTTATTGTTTCTTTTTGTTTGTTTTTTGCTTTTTGGGTCCCACCCAGCATGACCAGGGGTGCTCAGGGGTTCCTTCTGGCTCTGCGCTCAGAAATAAGTCCTGGTGGTGCTCTGGGAACCATATGGGATGTCGGGAATCGAACTCGGGTCAGCCACGTGCAAGGCAAACGCCCTACCCACTGTGCTAGCTTCAGCCCCAAGAAAGTGTTTTTTTTTTATATAGTCAGGGTTATATCTCTGTTTATTCAAATATTTTTTAACGTTATCAACAGGAAAACAGCATCAAAATTGTTCCCTGAATTGTAGTCCTACTTTAGTTTTAAAGGAGATGAAATATTTAGATTGTTACCTTGAGGAGATATTTTTGAATAGAAATAGATACTTTAAACTGTAGCTCATGCATCCCTGTATGGATCATATTTCCTCAGCAAATGCATCAAATCCAAATTATAGTAAAATCATTCTAATCAAAAGGGATTTAAAAATTAGACTATCAAGTTACTTAAACAGATACATTTTGAAATATAATACACATCACTTTTTTTTTTGACTTTTTGGGTCACACCCAGCGATGCACAGGGGTTACTCCTGGCTCTTGCACTCAGGAATTACTCCTGGCGATGCTTGGGGTGACCATATGGGATGCAGGGAATCGAATCTGGGTCAGCCACATGCAAGGCAAACGCCCTACCGCTGTGCTATCGCTCTAGCCAAGTGGTAGTTGAGAGATACGAAATAATTAATATTTTGACCTTCATCATTGTTTTTACTACTCTTTTGATTTTCATCATAGATCTTGGTCAATAAAATAGTCATTTAATTTTTGGGTCAATTTAAATAATTATGAAAGTTATTTCAGCTTTTTGTAGCTCCTCACTCGCTACCTGTCTGAATGCAAGGTTCCGTCCCAATGGAAAACCAGCAGGACCGTACTACTGTTCAAGAAGGGAGACATCCATGACATTGGCAACTATCGCCCGATCTGCGTATTGTCTGTCATCTACAAGTTGTTCACTCGAGTCATCCTAAATAGGATTGGCAGAACACTAGATGAAGGACAACCATGCGAGCAAGCCGGGTTCCGCAAAGGATTCAGCACCATCGACCATATCTACACGATAACCAAGCTCATTGAGGTTTCTCTGGAGTTCAAGATGCCGCTCTGTTTAACGTTCATTGATTTAAAGAAGGCCTTTGATTCTGTTGAGATGGAAGTGGTCATTGAAGCCCTAGCCAATCAGGGCATTCAAGCCCAATACATCAGGATTCTCCGTGAACTGTATTGCGGATTCACTACCAGGATCTCACCATTCTACAAAGAAGTGATCATTGATGTCAAGAGAGGGGTCCGGCAGGGTGATACCATTTCACCGAAACTCTTCAGTGCCACCCTCGAGAACATCATGCGACGACTGGAATGGGAAGGAATGGGAGTGAAGATAGATGGTCGGCAATTACACCACCTCCGCTTTGCTGATGACATTGTTTTAATAACACCAAACATCAGCCAAGCGGCACAAATGCTGGCCGACTTTGACCGTGAGTGTGGAAAGGTAGGACTACAGCTGAATCTTACGAAGACAATGTTGATGAGAAACAGCCTCGTTCCTGATGCCCCATTCGCTCTCAACGGAACGACCATCTCCGAATGCAACAGCTATGTGTACCTAGGTCGAGAGGTCAACATGACAAATGACCTGGCACCCGAGCTGCGCAGGAGGAAGAGAGCGGCTTGGAACGCCTTCAAGAACGTCGAAGAAATAGCTAAGAGGACGAAGAACCTTCGGCTCCGGGCACATCTCTTTGATTCCACTGTTCTTCCTGCATTAACATATGCCTCAGAGACCTGGGCCCTACGCAAACAAGATGAGAACGCCATTCAGGTCTCCCAAAGAAGAATAGAAAGAGCTATGCTTGGAATATCACGTTTCACTCAAATGAGAGAAAGAATCCGGAGTTCCGACATCCATCGACGATCAAGAATCAGGGACGCTGTCTCATTTGCCAAGGTGTCGAAAATCAGATGGGCTGGTCATGTAATGAGGTTTAAAGATGACCACTGGACTAGAGCTGTTACTGACTGGATTCCACGGGATGTCAAAAGACCGCGTGGCCGCCCACCTACCAGATGGTCAGACTGCTTCGTCAAGATCATGAATGATCGGTTTGAGGCTCTTCATGTTCCCGGAGCGAACAGATGCCATTGGGCTACACTAGCACGCGACAGGGACAAATGGAGACGTTCCTGGCACCCGCTCAAGCAAATCGACGACTAACGGGAAGTTAAGTGATTAAGTGATTAAT